GATCCTTGGTTGGGGAATACTTTTCTTGATCCCACCACCTTCAGAGGCATGTTTAGTCCAGAGACAGGAGTGGGGCTTTTCAGTAACTGAATTTCCTCCGAAGAAAGCTGGGCTGTCCCTCCCTTGTTGACTTAGTGGTGGTCAAGCCATTTATCTTCTTAGGCACCCTTCAGTCTCGAAAGACAATGATAGTGCACTCAGTATGAGTGTCCTCTCCAGAGCACGAAGCCTGGGTAGAATAATATGGAGGATAGCCTGTTACTCAGCCAGCAAATCCCCCCTCTCCATGTTGCTGAAATAGTCCAATGGAAAGGCAAGAGCCAATACAACTGGTTCCAGTGATGTCGAAGGAGTTGCCAGAACAACACGAACTGCCTCCGGGACTCTGGCACCAGATTTTCCCTCAAGGTTAACTCCTGAAGCCTTTTCCATAAGTGGATATGTCCACAAGGCAGTGGAGACTTGAAATCGGAGTTTTCCTTCTCCCAGATGGGCCGCCTTCCAAGGCTGACGAGCCCCACCTACCCGGTAGCCATTTATCACAATCATCTTATCATCAACGTTAGAGATGGTCACAAACCAAACCATAAACCAGAAAAACCAACAAATCAGGCTGGTTTGTGATTCAATTTGCAACTCAAGTTCAGAGATCCTGTTTTGGCAAAGCAAAAAAAAAGTGTTGAACACAAAAGTCCCCTCAATGCTTTGTTTTTCTTTGGCAAAACAGATGCCTGCCCACCCTCTTTCCACTGCCCCTGTCGCCTCTACCTGGGCGTGCCACTGCTGCTGCCATCGTCAGAAACAGCAGGCCAGCTTCTGTTCCTGCCACCGGCCCGCTGTCTCTGAAAATCCTGGTGGTGGTGGCAGGATCTGGTAGGGGATGACTGGGAGAAGGGGGTGAGTGGGCAGGTGGTCTCCCCCAGCACAAACCTGAAAAACAAATGGCAAACCAGTCCATTTGATTGGTGGTGGTTTATAATTGTTGATGGTTTTTTGGCAGCCATGAGCCACGAACCATCATGAACCACTGGTTTACCACTTCTTGTGTATCACTAATCAATATTATTCAGGTAACCATTTGGCAACTGAATCACTGCTGAAGACTTTTAACGGATGTGGGCTGTACTTTAAAAACAAAAACAAAACCTACAATACTGTTGATTCAGTCAAATTATAACACAAAGATTGTGCCTTTTAAAATTTAAAGCAATATTTCTAATGTTTGCTTTTTTATGCTGGCTGTCCAGAATCTCCCTTTTGGGAGCAAGGCAAATAATAAATTAAATCAGTCAATCAGTGAATGCATGGCCATTTTGCAAGTTTTCCCAGCAAGTATACAAAGCATAGCTCTATTTTGTTGCCACGCAAAAGTGTAGCAACATTGCTGCTGCAGAATGCAACTCACTTCTATGGTGCATAGAACTGGTGATTATTGCCAGCACGGATGGGTCATGATCAGAGCAGGGACCTCACTCCCCGTTGTGGGAGGAGGTTCCATTTCCTTGGTCCACTGATGAACAGTAAGGTTCAAGAGGCATCCTGCGTCCCAGTCCATCATTGTGAAGTCCCTTCATCCCTTCATTCCTGAAGGCTCAGTAACCAAGAGTTTGTGCTCATGAATTCTACATAGAGGCTCAAATCCTATTCCTTAGCCTAGTGGGTTTTACTAGAGTAGGCTCATTGGGGATTAGGTGAGTCAACTCCATTAGTTCCATTGATTCCCATGAGCCTACTCTACCTGCAAGCTGCCATTAGAGTAATCCCATTTGAAACAATGGAACTGATGGAGGAATTGAACCACTAAATCCATGTGGATCCAGTGGGACTACTGTACTGTGATTTACTATGGTAAGCAATAAGATTTTGGCCATTGTATCTTCTTTCTCCTGTGCTGTCACATAGGCAATTGCTTCTGAATATGAAGCATAGGGCAACCACCAGAAACAGAATATTGCACCAAAGCCTGGGGCCCGGCAGAATCCTGTTCGCCTGACTCACAGCTCCATTTGCAAACATTTGGGGTTTCAACACAAACAAAATGGTCAAGGCACAGAACGGACACACCCTGCATTCTTAATCCTTGCAGAGTTCCCTTCTTTGCAGAAGTAAAGCTGTTGACCCTCAAAAGCTCATCTAAATCCACATCCTTCACTCAACACTGGGCTGGAGCCCAAATACCTTTCTGCTTCCTGAATCTGGGCTTTTCCAGCATGGCCCTTACTTTTTTGGCAGAGGAATGAAGAGTGGATGAGAAGTGATGTTGATCTCTATAGAGCTGGGATAAAGCAGTCTAAGAGAGAGACCAAAGGAAGGAGTCAGTTCGACACTACCGGCCTCCATGGATTACAGATAGGCTGGGTGTTTTAGGACAGACATATATTATATCAGATGGGGTGAAGAACTTCAGTGAGTCCATGGACAAGTTTTCTCTTTCTGTGACTTGTCAATGGCTGCCAGCAGGAGAGAAGTTTAGCAGTAGAAAGAGAGAGATGTGGGGGAGGAAGAGAGTGAGAACAGTTCAGGTCAGGAGAAAATGTCTTACATCAGTGGTCCCCAAACTTGGGCCCCCAGATGTTCTTGGACTACAATTCCCAGAAGCCTACACCATCATCTCTTCTGGCCAGGATTTCTGGGAGTTGAAGTCCAAGAACATCTGGAGGCCCAAGGTTGGGAACCACTGTCTTACATCTTCCACTTAAATTATGGTGCCTGGGACCACACCCCTTGGTTTGAAAGGGAGACTTTGCTTCCTGCAGGCTTCCAAATTATTCTGTAAAACAAGGCACATGCTCTTCATGCACATTGCATTGCGCGAAAAATGTGATTTATTTATTTATTTATTTATCATCTTCCACCCGGTGGCCATTTTGGAACCGCCGATCAGCTGTTGGGAAATCATCGTTATGTGAAAATCGGTAAGCGAAACAGCTTACCGATCATCGCAAAGCGATTTTTTCCCCATTTAAATCATCGCAATGCGATCACTTTTGTGATCGCAAAATCTTCAACGCTATGTGGATTCGTCGTCAAATGGGATGCCTGTTAAGCGAGGCACCACTGTACCTCAGAGGAACACTGCCTCAGAGGCATGGGTGGAAAATTGAATCAAAGCTAGCCACTTCATGCCCAAAGTATCAGCAAAGAAGGAGGTGACCTTAATGAAATTCACAGGCCTCACTTTTTTTAGGGCAGTTGTAACACCCCTTCATCTCTGGAAGCCAAGGGTGGATTGTGACTGGAGCAAAGCAGAGGAAACTGGTACATCCATTGGTGGCAAAAATGACTGGAGCACAGGGCTGCGCCATTGATTTTGGGGTGTGGCCCCATTCTGCTCGATCCATTAGCCACTCGTGTTGGTAGCTTTTGAAGAGCAGCAGTTAAGAGAGACATGGCAAAAGCTAAAGCAACTGACTGCACTATCTCTCACCTCCCACACTAAAACACTACTTACAGGTAATAACAACTATGAGAGTTTGTCCTTCTAGAATTTTAGATCAAATGGTCTTTCCACCTTCAGCATCCTCATGTTTTGGACAGAGTTTTCAGACAAAGCCTTAGTATGTATGCCTTCTGAATTACATGTGCACAATTGGATTAGGGGTGGATTTAATACTTCCTTCTTGCCACTGGGTTTGGCGCCAACCTCTAGGGCATAGGGCCAGATTTGTAATGTGGAGGGAGGGGAAAGACGGACAGGAAACGGGATGATTTCTTTAGAGACGGTTGGGTGGGGGAAGCTTGGGGTGCTGCCTATAAAACCAGGAGGGACTTTAGAAAGAGGTTGGACCCTGGACAACAGAGAGGTGGCACCAGGGAGAACCAAGTCGTAAGTAAATAAAATACTAAGAAGTGTATGTTTCTCCCTTTTTCTTTCCGTCACCCCCTTCTCCTTCTCTTCCTCTGTAATTACTTTTCTTCCTCTTTCTGCCATCTTCTTTTCTCTTTCTCCCTCTCTATCACGCCCTTTTCTATCATTGTGTCATCCCTGCTATGCTGTTTTGCTTTCTCTCTCTCTCTCAATCACTGCTGCTCCTTGCTTGGAACAGACAACTCTTGTTTGAGTTCTGAACGGATTTCTTACCTAATATATTTGAACTTAAGTCAAGGGTTCCATGGATTTAGGTGGGTTGCCCACTGTTGCCTTACTGGGAGGTAAACAACTGAAACGGTTACCAGACCCCAAATACCCTCTAATGTAATTTAATATCCTCTGTTCTCCTTCTTGCTTCCTGAGTTACCCTTGCCCATGATTGGTTTTCATTTTTCTTCTTCTTCTTCTTCTTCTTCTTAAGGGGAGGCCAACATGAAGACTTCCTTGACCTTCCTGGTAATTCTGCTGGGTAAGTTGAACCAAGACAGTGAGGAGAGTCTCACCAGAGGCTGATGTCTGATGGGAATAGACATAATCTAGCTGAAATACATACAGAGTCACAGAGGGTGCTTCTGAGGAAGCTCATTGCATCTATTAAAGAGCCACTAAAAATCTTACCCATGTCAAATTAACATTCAACTGGGGTGGAGGGCTCCCATAGGAATCCATAAGACCAGGCGTTCTCCTGGCATCAAAAAAGGTCTGCCCTAAGTCCCTAGACAAGGCTCTGAAAGTGTTGCCAAATCAACTCAGTGGCCACCTTCAGGTTCTGGAGAACCTCTCTGCAAACAACCTCTTCTTCACATACACCTTCTCTCTACTCTCAGAGCCAAAACTAAAATAAGCCCGACAGATGGTAGTCTGGCCAGCAATGATATCAGAATTAGAGAACTGCAGTTAGAGAAAACTCTCTAACACATTCAGAAGTGGAATAGACATCAGGCATGCATCTCACCATCATTTTCTTTATCTATCTATTGCAGGTTCAGCGTTTTCAGCTCATGTGCCCGGATCTGCAATAAAGAATGGTAAAATCTGACACCTGCTGGAGTGGGTGGGAACGAGTGGGTGGATTTTCTTTCAAAGAAATATACTGCTATAAACCTCCAGTATTTCAAACTGATTCAGAGGATAATAGGAAGATACCTTGGGTGAATAGACATAATGGGTGCATGGACACTGAGCTTGGTAAGTGTACAGTGTAATGTCTGCTGGTTTAATTTGGGGATAGCATATGGTCATATAGGAATCAGAGTGGTTATTATTACACAGATTTCCCTTCCACTGTCTAACTGATGTAATAGCTCAGTGGTTTAGACAACTGGCTGCAAAGTCAGCGGTTGAGAGTTTGATTCCCCACTGTTCCACTTTAACTGGGGCTGGACTCAATCCAGAGGGTCCCTTCTAGCTCTGCAGTTCAAAGATTATATAAATGGTTCCAGGATTATGGTAACGATAAGCACCCACAGACCATCAAGAAAGGGTCCTTTTACAGGTCAGTGCTCTTGTACACTCAAGAAACATTATCTCAATTTAGCAAATCTCTTCAGACTTTGAATAGGGCTGGATTATAGCTGGCACTTAAGAGTGGTCTACTTTCAGGATAGCCCTACCATAGGGCAAAAGAAGATAGTCGCTTCATGTAAAAGGTAACTGAGCATGCAAAACTGCAGAAAATAATACAAATGTGTGACTCTAGCTGCTGTGCTAACATCAGGTGCAATGGGGGATGCCCTCTCATTGGCAGCGAAGTAAGATTTTGCAGAGAGCCTGTTTAGTTCTTCTTCGTGGCTTCTGTGAATCACACTATGGGTGATCCACTTCTGCACGGAGCCTCTTTGGAATATTCTAGAGCAGGGGTCTCAAACATGCGGCCCAAGGGTGATTTGTGGCCTGCCGAACAATAGTTTGTGGCCCCCACCTTGCTTGCCTCCCCTGAAGTGCCCACGTATCCTCTGCTGTCAAGAGTAAAAAAAAAAAGCCTCGCCTCGCTTCCTGGCTCTCCCCCAAGACAGTGCCTCTTGCACCCTCCATCCGGAACTGCAGCCTGCCAGTCAGCCCACCTGTCTGCCGGCTGCAGTTCCGGATGGAGGGTGCAAGAGGCGTTCTCTTAGGGGAGATCCAGCGAGTGAGGTGCACTGCTGGCCCTTTTCCCCGAACTCCCGAGCCACCGCTGAGTGATGTCTGAGAGCAGAGCTCGCTCCTGTCTCGTCTGCAGAGAGCGCCTCCAAGCCGCCAACAGTAGCTGCCGCCGCCGCTTCCAGGGAAGCGGCTCTCTGGCTCTCTTTCTCGGCATCCCCAGCACCAGCCCGGCCAGTAGCCGCCTCAGCGCCCGATGGTGCTTCCTCTTCCTCCTGCTCCTCCTGCTTCAGTTGCCTCAGCTCTGGAGGCTGCCTGGGCTTGCCTCGCAAAGTTTACTCCCCGGTCGTGGTGGGGTAGCTGCTGCTGCTGCTGAGTGCGCCTTTTTTTGAGGGGAACCTTCAGAGGAAGGTTGCCAGACTGTGTGTGTGTGCGCGCGTGTGCGTGTGCATGTGCGTGTGCGCACCTGTGGGGGGGCCCTGTTCTGTTTAATTTTGCAGGTACCGATGGGGTCTTTTCTCCTTTGGCCAGGCGATTCTGTGAGGGATTTTTTTGGGATTTTATGTTGTGTCCTCCCCCCCCCTCCGTTTCTTCATCCTGCTGCTGCTGGTGGTGGTGGTAGTGAAGAAGGAGCCAGAGGGGGTTGTGGCTGGTGACAAGGGCTCGCGCGCCCCTCGTCCTCCTCTTCCTCGGAGCCCCAGCTGGACTAAGGAAACTCCTGGGCAGCTTCCTCGGGCTCTTGCACCGCTTGGCGGAAAATCTGATGCGGCCCAGTCTCACCCAGACTCTGCTTCCAGTGGCCCCCAGGTAAATTGAGTTTGAGACCCCTGCTCTACAGGTAACCTCTAATGCAGGGGTCTCAAACATGCGCCCCGGGGGCCATTCGCAGCCCGCCGGATGATAGTTTGTGGCCCCCGCCTTGCCTGCCCCCTGAAGTCCCCACACTTCCACTGCTGTCAAAAGTCAAAAAAGCCTCACCTCGCTCGCCGGCTCTCTCCAAAGACAGCGCTTCTTGCACCCTCCATCCGGAACTACAGCTAGCCTGTCTGTCTGCTGGCTGGCATGCTGCCGTTCTGGATGGAGGGTGCAAGAGGCGCTGTCTTGGGGGAGAGCCAGCAAGCGAGGTGCGCTGCCGGCCGTTTTCCCCGAGCTGCTGCAGCGCGATATCAGTGGGGGGCCAAACTTCCCTGTTGTTCCTTTTATCTCTCGACTCCCTACTTTAGCATTCCAATCCCCTAGAATGAGAAGAACATCTTTCTTTGGTGTCAGTTCTAGAAGGTGTTGTAAACTTCAAGTTTAGGAGAATGCAATGCAGTCATAGTTACAAACTACCCACCCCTAGTTTCAGTGGTTCTTCACCTTTGTTACTCGGATGTTTTTGAACTGCAACTCCCAGAAACCCCAGCCAGCACAGTTGGTGGTGAAGGATTCTGGGAGTTGCAGTCCAAAACTCCTGAGTAACCCAAGGTTAAGAACCAGTGGTTTAAATCAATTAATCATGCATGCAGTTAGGATTAAGGTTAACGTCAAGGGAGGTGTGTGGGGCTTTTAAATAGTCAGGGTGGGTGGGATGGTAGATGATTGATGGTGGATTGTTACATGAGAGGTTTTAAAAAATAATAGAACCTAGATCCTATGCGTTTGATTACAACTCCCATCATCTCCAGCCAGCATCTTGAGGGCCCTGGCATGAACAACACTGATATAGAAATAAGGCCCATTGAACACAATAGATCTTCTGGGTTGGCACACACAGAACAACACAGTAGAAGATTTGTGTGGCCTACATTTGAGCATTCTCCTGAGATTTTTTTTACTATGTTGCACAAAGCCATCCCCTCTCTTATAAGTTTACCTCAGGTTTAACATATCAATGCTTGGTTTCTTCTTATCTCTAGCTCATGTTTTGTATCCCTACGGGGAAGCTGTAGGAGACATGAAGACTCCCAAGGAGGATGATGGGACATCACCAGAATTTCACATGTCAAAGCCATTCACCTTCTATGGCACGAAACACGACAGTTTATTTGTAAGTGCAACCTCGTTTGTCAAAGGGCAAGATTGAAACATAGGGAGTCGTGAGGACCATAATAGTTCTAGTTTCTTTGCAGGGGGTAGGATGAAATTCTCTCAATTTCTACATCATTGCCCTATGACCATAAAAGTAGCAATCAAAGACTCCATCTTCCACAAGCTAGGACAGCACATAGCAAATGAAGTAACTACCTTTTGCAGAATAGTAAGAATATGAACAAGGTTCTAGTTAGCACATGGTTATGGAGATAACTGATGATGAACAAGACTCTCATCTGAAACTATTTGACAGACTCACAGCAATACCTACCAAGTTCACTTGACATACTAACCCTGAAATCTATCAACTTTTGGAAAGCATTCATGAAAGCTTCTTTTCCAATAAGATTAGCTAGTTGTTCCTCAGACCAGAATTGCTGACTTGAAGCACGAAAAGTTGTTGTGGAGATTAAGCTTTTTAATGAAGCTTTTAGATTTTTATATACCGTATTTTTCTGTGTATAAGACTATACTTTTGTCTAAAATCTTTAGACTAAAATTTGAGGGTCGTCTTATGCACGGTAGTAAGCTGAGGAGAGAATAAAAACAAGTGGAGGAGAAAGCAGGGATCAAAGCGATCCTGCAACACTTTGATCCCTTTCCCCCTACACTTGTTAAGCCCCATTTAGATTTCTTAATTTTGGATTAGTGGGGGACATCTTATACATGGGTGCATCTTATACACAGAAAAATACGGTACATTGCATTTCGCTGATACGTCCAAGATGTTTCGAGGACCAAGGAAAATCTCTGGGCACCCCATATTGGCCAAAAGTGAAGGCTTTTGGAAGGCTCAGCCATCTACAGGGTTATGATCCAGATCTCATAATTAGTTGGCCTAACAAAGGTGTTACAGTTATATGAAATTCGGACTTCATGCAGAAGGAACTTAGTCACTCTCAGGGAGATATCTTGAGAAGAAGGCTTTAGCATTGATGTTCAAAGTGACTGTTGCTTCTCTTTGCCCTATCACAGGTTAACAACAATGGTGTGGTTTCCTTTTCTAATCCTGTCCCAGAATATACCCCCGAGCCCATCCCTCTGGATGATAAAAAACCCTTTGTGGCTCCCTACTGGGGAGATGTCAACACTGACCTAGGGGGTGAAGTCTATTATCGAGAGACCACAAACCCAGAAGAACTTGAACGCATCTCCCAGGATATCAATCAGTACTATCCCGACAGCCATTTTAAAGCTGATTGGGCTTTTATTGCCACCTGGGACAAAGTGGCCTATTTTGGGAGCGCATCTAACAAGGTAAGTTACTGATATTACAAATTATTATTCAGCCAAGTCCAACAATTTTGCAAGTGCATTTATGCTTCAACTTTGGCTAATCTATTACCTATGTCTTCTCCTCAGCAACAGGGACTTGTTATGTATGATGCCCTTTGCACAACATTACTGCAATACGGCATATTTTACCTTTTCTGGAGTCTCTCTTTGTTTTTCCTGCAGGTGAATACTTTCCAGGCTGTCTTAGCTAACGATGATAATGCTGCCTATGTAATGCTTAACTATGGTAAAATCCAATGGACTACTGGTACAGCAAGTGGTGGAAATCCCAGAACAGGTCTGGGAGGAATCCCAGCCCAGGTAGGTCTCCTTGGAGAGCAACTGAATAAATAAATGCATTTGAGATTATTTTCTCTCAAAATATATTCTCACCCTTTGTTCCAAACAATGCTACAAATCTGAGAGGGTCCTCTTCTGATTCCAGTTCAGGAAATATGAGAAGCTACTGTATGAAAAAGCAGAGATCATTTTCTCTATTTAGTCCACTATTATCTCCTCTGAGTCGCAGGATTTCATGAACCTGTTTTTTTGACTAAAACTGTTTCCTGTTGGTCTTGACAAAAGTTTTTACATTGGCAAGAGTGGTTTGGGGGGAAATTAGGCAAATTAAATAGCTAAAATCTACTAGCTGGTGCCTCCTCATATGAACTTTTAAAAACTGGACACTTTGGACAAATGTTTTTCCATCTTTTACATCAGTCAGGTCAGTTCTGTGCTTGCTGGATGAGTGAATTTTGCTTCGCAAAGTTAATTTGTTTATTTTTTAAATACATCTGTATACTGCTGATTCAGTGCAAAATATTATTTTATGACTTTAGAACTGCACAATGTAGGAGTAACCTAGCCACCCAACATAAAACATCTCAAATAAATAAGGAACAGATACACACCCCAAAAAATTGTCTACACGGGAAACACATATAGAATAGCTTAAGCGGAAATGCTTTTCAGTGTCTCTTGAAACAGGACAGTGTTTAGCATCCTCTTAAAAGATGGGAAGCAGCAGCCGGACGTACTTCTACCTGGAGGCCATTCCATAAGGGTGGGGCCACCACTGAGAAGGCACAATTTCTGGTCACATTCTTTGCCTTTCTCAGTGTGGCAACCTGGAGAACCAAGGCCTGAGAAGTACAAGTTGCACAAGCTGATGTTCTGAGGAGAGACACTCTGACATGGTTTTGTATGAGATATTTTCCAGACAGACACTGCAAAAATTTCAACCCCACCTCCCAAAGTGCTCTTCGCTTCATTCTCACCCTGGGCAGCCAAAAGCTCTGCAAGATCTCTTGACATGATGACTTGATAATTCAAGACAGCCTATCTAGGTGGAGACAATTCATCAAGTTTTGTTCACATCCTTAAAGGGTGATAACAAACAGATAATTAAAACAAAAGGACTGAGGTGAGATTAGAATGCCTAGAAGTGAATTTGGGATGATCTACAGAGAGAACACAATGTTCACCTACAGAGTTACGCAGCTGTGACAAAGTACAGTGGTGCCTCGCTAGACAATGATAATCTGTTCCACTGAAATCGCTGTTTAGCGAAATCATTGTCTAGCGAAAAGCATTTCCCTATTGGAATGCCTTGAAACCTGTTGAATGCGTTCCAATGGGGAAGAATCGTCATTGTCTAGCGAAGATCAGCCATAGGAAAGCCGCTTCGCGAACCGCCGATCAGCTGTTTAAATAGCTGTCTTGCGAAGGTTAGGTCCTGAAAACATCCGTTTTGTGAGCGCGGAGGGAGCTGTCAAAATCATTGTCTAGCGAAAATCGGTTTGCGAAGCAGGGACCAAACATTGTCCAGCGAAATTCCCCCATAGGAATCACTGTTTTGCGAATCGCTATAGCGAAAAAACTGTCATGCGGGGCAACTGTCTAGCCAGGCACCACCGTACTATATTACAGTTGGATGCAAAAGCATCAGCACCATGGACAGCTCACAGCATTGATTGTATTAGCACTCAGACTATAGGGTAAGTGGAGAGCTCAGAGAAGTGAGGAACCTGCTTAATTCTATCATTCCTCATCAGTCGCCACGACTGATGAGAACTGGAATCTAGCAGCTTTTGGAGATCCACATTTTCTTCATCCCTTGGCTGAAAGAGTGTTTCAGCACCAATCTGGAACAATCTGAGGAGTGAAGTCAAAGGCAGGAAATCTGTGACCTTCTAGATGTTGTGGGACTTCAACTCTAATTGGTCCTGATGAGTATGATCCATAGTCAGGCACTTCATTTGAATTTCATTTTATTATTTATATCCTCCTTTTCTCCCAAGGGTGCAATGGCATTTGTCCTTTGCCAACTTCTGGAAAGACACAGGCCTTTCACTCCTGATGAATGATTTCCTTTCATTCCTGATTTCATTCCCATCTCCATGAATGATCCTGCTGAGAGCACTCTGTGGAACAAGTATCCATCCCAGCAAGGCTAGAATGGCTGTCACTTAACATGAGCTCCCCTGGGTTACAGGCGGTCCTGGGGAAGAGAATGGAGGCAGAGCTACTTCCTAAAGTGCAAAGGACAAAGTTCTTACTGTATTCCCTGGGTAACATTTAAAGATGGTCCTTTTTAACAAGGTAGCTATTTCTGCTACAGAAGTGGGTCCTACCGTAATTCTGTCCATCAAGTCTTTGGACTCCTTACCTGACATAGAGGGAGTGGCATTCTGGAAAGGCATCTATTTGAACTCTCGCTGGTTGTTGTAAAACAGGATTTGGATAACATGCCCATATGGATGCTATTATGTTTTCTTTCAGGCCGGCTTTAACAGCGGTGATGACAAAAATTATTTCAGCATCCCTGGTTCCCGCACTGACGAGATCCTCAACATTGGAGACACTTCCAATGTGAATGTTCCTGGACGTTGGGTATTCCAGGTGAACGAAGGAATCCCCAAAGAAGTTTTACAGAAGATAAGAGAGGCAGAAGCTGCTAAGAAGGCAGCAGAAGAAGCAGCTAAGAAGGCAGCAGAAGAAGCTGCTAAGAAGGCAGAAGAGGAAGCAGCTAAGAAGGCAGCAGAAGAAGCAGCTAAGAAGGCAGCAGAAGAAGCTGCTAAGAAGGCAGCAGAAGAAGCAGCTAAGAAGGCAGAAGAGGAAGCTGCTAGGAAGGCAGCAGAAGATGCTGCTAAGAAGGCAGCAGAAGAAGCAGCTAAGAAGGCAGAAGAGGAAGCGGCTAAGAAGGCAGCAGAAGAAGCTGCTAAGAAGGCAGCAGAAGAAGCAGCTAAGAAGGCAGAAGAGGAAGCTGCTAAGAAGGCAGCAGAAGAAGCAGCTAAGAAGGCAGCAGAAGAAGCTGCTAAGAAGGCAGCAGAAGAAGCTGCTAAGAAGGCAGAAGAGGAAGCTGCTAAGAAGGCAGTGGAAGAAGCCCCTAAGGAAGAAGAGCCGGTGGAAGAAGCCCCTAAGGAAGAAGAGCAGCCTGACGACTGGGAGGAGTACGAAGATTGTGAGGAGGAGGAAGAGGAATATGAATATGAATATGAGGATGGGGATCTGTGGCAGCAAGGTATACAGGGTGAAAATCATGTGGGTTTTCATGTAATCCGATAAGGAAATGATTAGTGGCGACCACATCAGCCCTTTATTTCAGGGGACCAATACACAGTAACTTTTATTTATTTATTCTGATGATATAGGTTCTGCAAAATATCACTTGCTCCTTCCTAAAGGTACTTCACACCCTCTTGACATCACAGCAGTCATGTCTCAACTTTACTTTGGAGATGTGGAGGAGGGATCCTCTTGACAGTCTCAACCTTGCCCCACCTCATATGAATGCCTGTGTTTAAGATCAGGGATACTTGAAAGGAGTGAGTAACCTCTGCCCCTCCAGGTGTTTTGGACTTCAGCTACAAGGCCCAGACAGTGTGGCTGATGACAAGGAGCCATAATTCAAACACATGGAGGGCCACCAATTTCTTCCCTTCCTCCCTGTAGTAAATTACAATTGAGGTTTTCAATATGTTGACCTTCTATCACTCTGAGTCCCTTTGTTGATCTAGAAATAATAATAATGGGATGCCATCAAGTCAATTCCGGCTTATGGTGACCCTTTTCAAGGATTTTCTAGTTTGGGAATACACAGTTTAGGATGGCTAATAATTTGCATAGTCAAAAACCACAGATTATACATATATAAAATTACAGATTTTAAATCACAGATTGAACACACCTGGAGTTAAGAATATCTAAAGCCATGGACCACAGAGATATGCTAAAAAAAAGCAATGGGAAAAAACAACAAAACATTGGCATTTTCCTGAAAGTTATTGATTTATTCATTTGCTTTGAATAAATAATAATCTTGGAAATGCAGAGCTGGAAGGGACCCTATGGGTCATCAAGTCCAACTCAAGTCAAGGAGGCACAGTGGAGAATTGAACTCCCGAGCAGATACCTAAACCACTGAGCTATCCAGCAGTTTTGAAAAATATGGATCTTAAACTGCGGAGCTCAATTTTGAGAGCACTGCATAGGTTCATGCTGAATTACTGCAAACTGAAGATAGTAGGCTAGAATCCTGTGGAACAGCTATCTTCCACATGCAGTTGGGAGCTTTTCCACAGCTGGAGCAAGGGAAAATCCAGGAACACTTTGCATGAACGGAAATTCAGCACAGAACATTCTACCTTATACTTCCTGTTTCTGGCAGGATTCTAATGTAAAAATCTAATGTTGGAAGGAAGAAGACTTTTTGTTCTTACTGCTAGACTACATTGAGCCAGAAATCAGTATCAACTTTGAATTTTTTTTAGGGAATAGAAACAAAGGTGGTGCCACCAATCCTACGCCCAGTGTCCTTGTGTTTAGCTAAATCAAGGTGCTCCTGTAGTCTTTTGAAAAATGGGCATATCATGTAGAAGTTATGGCAGGGTAGTCTGCTCTGACTTCCTTACAACTGGCACGTTTTGAGCTTATTGACTTGCTGTGGATCGCTCACCCCTCTACTGGGAGATATTGCTCTGTCGCTAAACCAGTGATTTCCAAATTGGATCTCCTAAAACTCATAGAAGCCTTCACTAATAGCTGTGCTGGCCAGAATTTCTGGGAGTTGTAGCCCAAGAATATCCGAGAATCCACACTTTCTGAAGACGCCCTTCTTCTATCTCTTTTAAAGCAACCTTTGTTCCTGCTCCCCCTTCAGGCATGGGCGTCCTGAGCTAGAACCTGCCACATCAGTAGTTATTTTTCTCCTGTATGTTCAGATATTATGTACCAATCTGGAACTGAGCAGTAAAAACTTTCCCCTCTTTTCCCTCCAGACGAACCTGTCACCTTAGAAGATCTTCTCCGCAGATGAACTTTCCAGGTGCCATTAGAACAGAACAGCTGGATAGAGAATAGTCCTTTTGCTGCCCCCTAGAGGCAGGAAGTCTTCTTCTGCTTAAATGTAGTGTAGTGAATCAATAATAAAAAAAGAGGAATTCTTGAGTTATTCAGTGTGCTCTGCTCTCTTTCTCTCTCTCCCCCCCCCCC